GAGACTATCCATCATTCAGCGAGGTTTTGTCCAAGTCCTGATGGGCCACAGATGTCATGGAACTTGTCAACCTTTGCTGCAAGGGGCCGTTCCAAGGAACAGATGTCTGTGTTCAGTCACTTACTGACTGTCCAAAGGAAGCTTCACTGCTTATCCAAAAGTGGGGTAGCTGTCCTCATTACAAGCTAAGTTGAAAGCACAAACATCTTTTGAAAGATCGATATGACTGAATGCAAATGCAAAATATCACTTATAGCACTTGCTAAAGAGTTTAGAATAAAATGAGAAAAAGCCAGAATGCCACAAGGACAAACTCCTCTAGGAAAATAATGTTTAGGAAAAATTTAGTTGGACGAGCAGCAAGCAGACTCTGTAAAATCATAAGAGTATGTCTCGCATGGGTGTGTGTGTGCATTCTCTGTAATGCCTAAACACCCAAACTTCCTAAATCCCAATACCAATCAGGGGAGTCACGCTCAAAGAAGAAACAGGTGCTTTTGAAAATGTATGCAGGAGCTATAAATAACAGATAATGGTAAGAAGGATCTTCTGGTATACAGACTCTATTTTTATTGCTTGAGAGCTACAAGTAATAGAAGGCAAATAAGCTGCTTTTAAACAGGAAGTGCCTCTCAATGTTTTCCTTTGTCTTCCAGAGCTACTTGCTAAAGTGCTCCTTGGAGTGAATATAACCAAAGGAAAAGCACTTGAAGGATCTATGAGTGAGTATGGGTGGCTATATAGAGAATGGAGGAAAAGCTTGAGAAAAACTAATCTTATTTTAATAAAAATTAAATCCCGATCTGTACCGTCCATTAAAGTCAGAGGAAAGGTTGCTCAGTATTGGGGAAAAAAAATCATATTTTTACTGTTTGTGTATTAAGTGAAGCACATTTGGACTGCTATGGTTGCTTTTGGAAGGAAGGAGCTTTGCACAATAGCACGTGATCTGAGCTACCACGGACAGGGCAAAGCCACTGCCCTCTGTTTGTTTGTCAGTGTATCCCAACTGACCACGCAACTCTTGCCTTGAACCTGCCAGTCTTCATGGTTCAGATGCCAATGCAGAGATAAATCTGTCCCTCACGCTCTGATTCTGTATTTTCCTGTGCCTCATTTGTATGCACTGTCTTCCTTTAAAGAGAGAATTCTGACAGACAGCTCCAGTGCACATTTCCACTGTTAAGGGATGAGTTCAGTGAAACACGAAAAACCAGAATTTGCCTGTAGGTCCTTAGCACAGTAACAAAGCCCCAGTGCTTAAAGCAGATGGTGGAAAGAGTCTTTGTTGACGAGGAACAGAACAAAAATAACATTGATGCTGGTAATGAATTACGCTTATTAACTACCTCACAACTCTGACAGTCCTTTTGGTACTTACTAAGCTCTCCTGAAATCCCTGTCCAGCACAGTGTTTACTATGAGTGACCTTGTTGACTCACACTATTTTTTACAGCAGTAACAATTCCTGGTAGCAAGTGTTTATAGGGCTGGAGACATTCTGTGGCAGAAGGCACCAGGTGACCAGACTGCCTGTTTATAACTGACTGCACGATTAGCAAGGGCTGGGGAAATGTTTACCTAAATCCTTACATGGGGACTGATAATGCCCAGAATTGCCTGTGATTTAACTGCCAGGCAGCTACAACCACCTACATTATTCCAATTTTAGGACATTTACTGCTCAGTTGCCAGATTTGCTGCTATTTAAAATTATTCCAGTGACTTATCACACCCTATAGCTTGGTGGAGTAGACCAAAGCCCTTCTCAGCACAAAACTCCTTCCTGATAGCATTACCTGTGTTTTGTTGGAGCTGTCATGGCCTAAGCATCATGGATATAGACGATATGTGTTATTAGACTGACTGATTTAACTGGAATAAAACCATGCTTTTATGTACAGAAATTTCCTTCTGGTGTGAAGCAGCAAACTTAAAATTTTCTATCTCCTTCAGACTTGAATAAAACCTTCTATTGTTGAAAGTTCACTGCTTCTTAGTAGCCACAGCCTCTGTTTTTATGTTGCAATGCCGATCTATACCCAGTCAGAGCTGTTTAGTGTGTGATCACTAAATAGCTCAGCTTTATATTAGATACTGATGACTGGAGAGTGAGAAATGGGCAGGATGCAATTGCTTCTTCCAGTGTAGCCAAGGGCCATGTAGGCATCTTGCTGGGGCCTCTTTTCTTCTCTTGTATGGAAGGCACAAAGAACCAGAGGCTCACAGGGGCGGAAATTGATTTTAGAGACCAGGAGTATTGATAACTGCTGAAATCCCACTGTCACCTCTCTCTTACACAAAGAACTCTGTGAATGCTGTTGTGCTTTTATTGTCCCTACAGTGGGGCTGAATGTATTAATGGGACTCTTTGATTGCCTATGATTCTTTTGTATCACCTGAGATTCAATGGGGCAGATCTCATTTTCTGTTCACACTCCCTCCCTATTCCATCTGCCTGATCTAAAAACTTCACTCAGCGCCAGGTTAGAACCTAAGCCACAGCTACTTCTTATTCCTCTTGAGGCTGTTGCTTATTTGGACTTAATCCTCCCGAATGTCTCAATATGAAGCCAACCTTTGGTTAACTCTAATAACAATTTTTTCATTTCTACCTGGTTGCTCTGCTCTTTGGTTTTCTTCACTCTGTCTATATGAATCAGTGCCACTAACATTATTTTCCTTTTGCATTTGCACTTTTCTGACTTCATTGCACATTAGACATTACATATTAGATTTCCACTCCTGTTTCAGAAAAGGCTTTTCCTACCCTTTCCCATCCTTTGGTTTCCCTTTTCACAACAGGTCCATGCATTCATGAAACACTTGGATGCATCACAGCCCCAAGAAGAGAACAAACCAGGAACCAGTTTCCTTCTGTAGTTTAGGAATAGCCAAGTTTGAGCCAAGAAATTGCAATAAAACATGACTTTTGAAGCCTGCATGTTCTGAGAACAAGCACAGTTCTCAGTGGCTGTGGCGTGGGCTTGGATGACTTTATAAGATGTTACAAAGTCATATCCATCAAATAACTGTCCTGGCAGCCAGCACAAACTATTCAGTAACACGACCACTTTCCATCAACATACCATGAATCTCCCTCCTTGCTCCTCAGACTGACCGAAAGCCCAGCAAGTCCGTGGCCCTTTTCCATGGTTTGACTTTCAATTAAGAGATAATGTGAGTGGAACAGCACAGTTTATCAGATAGTGTTCCCCTGCTGCTGCAGAAGGCAGAAGTATAGTAAGCAGAGGTCAACTGCTGAAAATCTACGTGCCTGGTTTAAACATTATGTAATATGTTAGGCTAATTTTACCTCATTTCATATTCACATATATTAGTGCAGCTTTTGTTATATACTTATCCTTATGTAAGTTACATCTGTTCTTTTATTCACTCATCCATGTTTGCTCTGCTTTCAGATTTATGAAACAGGCATTCCACTGAGCTCAGCAAACGATGGGCATAATAACTTATCTAAATTGCAAAGTATGTGATGCCCTTGAGGTAAACTCAGTTGTGAAGGTTTTATGAAGTGTCTCACATGTGGAAGTGGAGGAAAGTGTTTATTTGCCAACTCCTGTCTCTCCTTTGGCTGTTCAAATGATGTTAAGAGGATCCTGTGAAACTGCTACAAAAGCCTAGGGGCTAAATGGAGAAGTAGAGCTGCATTATTATCTTCGTAGGGGAAGGAGAGCCATCATGGCACTTGCACTTACACAGCTCTTCTCTCTTTGGATGTCAAAAGTTTCTGGTTGATAGGCTCTAAAGTATCTATTTATTTAATGAAATGCCTCTCACTGTAACAATATTGTGCAGATTTATTAATGAATTTATTGTTATGAGATAGAAAAGTAATCTCTTTTATTTCTTTATTTTTTTGTCTTACAAGGCTGCAGAGAAGCAAAGGTTCTGCAGAGGAAAGGGGGGGCCTTCCTGCTGTATCTGAGATACTCTTATCCCCTCTGCCCTTCTGTAGCTGCTGTAAAGTCCTGCAATGGATTCCTTGAGTTACTCAGGGCTGAGCTTTTCCACTAGTCCCAGCACTGATGTGCGTGACAGATGTCACCTACATCATGTGTAACTTTGTCAGCAAAGAAGCTCATCAATAACATCCAGATCTGGCTATTAGGAGAGTGTCCCCACCGGCTTAAGACTCAGCGCCTGGACTGATATTTATGGGATTGAGCTGAATTATCATCCCAGTTCCCCCCCATATCTCTTGGAAGTCTCCTGTTCATTGCTGCTGAGCTTTGTGCATCAGAGATCAGAGATTGCTTAAACCACTGGGCTAAATCAGATTTGTTAAAGTAATTCAAGTTACATTTGAGTTTATTAAGAAGAGAATTTACACTTTAAAATCCTGTAAGTAAAAACACATTTCTACCTCTGTGACTGGTGAAGACTTAAAGCCCCTTTGGAAGAGTGGATTTGGTTCTCTTTCCTTTAAAGTCTTCTCTTGGATACTTTAGATGCTATGCATAAGGAGAGCTTCAGAGAAGTCCATTCTCATGCAATGCTGATGGTGTGATATTTATGTACCTTCAAGATTCAACCTCTAACACAATTTGGACAGAGGCAGTAACTAAAAAAAGAAATTCCCAAGCCCCAGTAAGGCACCTCAAACCCTCTGTAAGCCCACTGGTGTGGCCACCAGCAAGTTCAGTTTGGGAATTTCTGACAAATATAAAAAGAAGGATGGTGGTAAAATTTTTATAGGAATACCCATAGTCCTGAAGTAGCCTGGGTATCAGTCCCTCTGTTAATTGCTGGAAAGTTCCGAGGGTGTTTGTTTCCCCAAATTTCTAATAGGAAGCTCAAATTTTATCCAGTGGACTGCAAGCACAACTGTTGGTAAAATCCTGAAGAACAGGGATTTTGGGAGACTGACCCAACCTATTTTTCCTGCCTCAGGCATTCTTCAGGGATATCTAGTACGTGGTAAAGGCTTTGTAGGAGGATGTATCTTAATCTCCCAAGGTAATCTAGGCTTTCCTGGGTCAGCTCTCCTTGTGGCTGCAGTCATAGCCCAGTAATACCAAGAAAGGCATCTTCTGCGCAGTGATGTTCTCTTGTCTCCAGCTAATTATGAGATCATTTTTCATTTCTTTGTGTTTAAGCTTCCGAAAATAATTAGCGCAATTAGTTGGCTTAAAAACGTAAATCTGTCAGTGATTTGGATGAGAGGCACAGCACCCAAAACACTTGAAGCTAAACACGTATGAAGCTACACACTTTGTCAGTCCTGCAAATTCAAAATTGTCCAAATTAATTTTAAACTGATTTGATAAACCCTCCAATGTGACAGCAGGAAAAGCATTTGGGTCTCAGGCTTTGTGCCCTTTGATGTCAGATTTCAGCCTGAATGAATTTTTTATGGCTGACTCTGGAATATAAAACCCTGAAAACGGTGGTTTGTAATGGCAATTCTGACAGACCCTTTAACCATTTGGAAAATAGACACTGCTATAACTCTGCTGCATTAGAGAAAAATGTTGAGTGCTTTCATTAGGTGCAACAGCTGTTTCTATTGCAAAAGTCAAACTTCACTGGTGGGAGCATAGCTGTCAGCTTTCCAGAGTTCTGCATTTATAGCTGTTTGTATAAATTCCTTTATGTTCTTTTTCGCTTTCCAATATATTTGAGTTAATTCAATAGCAAAAATACAAATAACTGCCTTGTAACTAGATGTGTGTGAAGGTTTTTTGTCCTACAATCAGTGTCATTTGATGAGCCAACTGAGAAATACTCAAATTTTGGGAATGGTTCCAGCACAAGTGATGTGTTAATCCACACCACATCAATTTTTAATAATCAGATTTAATCCTCCTTCTTAGTAACATGTTAGAGATCTTTAACCTAGTGTAATATTCTGATTAGAGCTGATTTAGAAAACAACCACAAAACACCAAAAAATCCAATAAACCCCTCTCCCCCGAGCTCCCTGAGTGTTCTGCTGTCTCCTCTACTTAAAATGAAATTTTTCCTAAGAACATGCAGAATATGCTGAAATGCGTTTTTTAAAAAAGTAAAGTTGATGATGCTTTTAATTTCTTTGTTTTGATACAATACAGAAAAATATTTTTGTATTACGAAGACACACAGTGAGTTCTTCTTGGAACAAGGTGCCTCAAATCAAATAGATATCTGAGTTGTCAAAAATTAAATGCAAACGTATGTTCAGAATGCAAACACCAAATTTTACAATGGAAGAGAGCAGATTTTAGTGGATTCAGTAAATTTTGCTTGCGAATATTGACTTATGCACAGCTTCACGTGGCATAATATGGGATACCAGTCTGTTTTTCAGTGCTAATTTGATTTCTGTTAAAATTATACTGAAAGTAAAAGTATCCAGAGAAATATAAAGGACGTAGGTACCTATAGACAAATACACCAAAGAAAATATATTTTTTAAATTGAATTTACAATGAAATATTGGCCACTTCCTATTGAAATATGTGGGAATAAACAAAATTTTAAAGATTTATTAATAAATATGTAAATATCTGTGTCCTTGGACACAACCACAATCCATTCTCAACAGCTTCTGACCTGTGATCATTCACAGCTGTGAAAATTGGGCTGGTTATTCAAACACCTGGCAGTGGATTAAAATCCTGAGTTTTGGAAAAACTTTGAAATACCATTTTTGGTATTTAAATCTACTGTATGAAAATGGGAAGGCTAAGAACTAGACAAGTACAGGGAACAGATCTATCATTTGCATTCATCTAGTTATCAGTGTTTATTATATATGGCAGGAAAAATGTATGTAATTGTATAAATGTATATAATTAATATCATAGATAGAATTTGTGTTGCAAAAGATTATCCTCTGATCTGTAGGCAAGTGTGAGAGATTTAAAGACTATCCCGGTGCAATGTCAGAAAGGTAGGAATATTTATCCTTTGTTTTGCTTCATAAGCATTTGACAGAGATGAGACCCAGTCTATCTATAATTTGGGGCATTTAGGATTTGATTACTTTCTGAAAACATTCTGTTCTTGGAAAACTTTATTAAAAACCACTGATCTGACAGCTAAGTGAGGCAATACACACCTACTCAGACTTTCTCTCAGAAGAGATAGATACTTTCTGAAATTTTAATTCAAATAACTTAGAAATACACCAAATATAATCACCTTGAAATACCTCAACCCTCCACCCCTGTGGTTTCTTTCAGGCATCAGTACCTTATTTGCTTACTCTGAGTACACCGACTCAGTGCAGGCAGGGTCTGGGGTTTTCAGTATCTTACCTGTAATCTGTCTGTAAACCCCAAATCCCAAAGAAGGACAATTTCAAGTCCTACCAGTGCAGAAATTCAAACCCTCCTCCCATTGTATCCACAATCCAGAGCCAGTGTGCATCCCTCTGGGATCTGATGGAGCTGTAAGAACCATTAATAACATTTTCCCTTCCCGGTGACGCGTTGCTCACGTCCTTTTCCTCACAAGTGGCTGAAAGTCAATGGTGGTGAATGCCCAGAGCTGTGATTTGCTCTGCTTTGAAAGACTTTGTAAAAACGTAAGATGCTCCTATTACATCCCAGCCTGACCTATTATTCATTCTGTCGGGTCAGATTCATCTGTACAGAGAACCAGTGCAAGACTCCTGCATTTCACAAATCCTTTCAGAATTAAATTGACCGGTTGCTGTGCAGAGACTCCAGAAATGCATTTACATGTCTTTTACCTCTCACATCACCAAAGCCTCATTTGAGCTCCACTAAGAGACCTAATTTGTAGGGCTGAATTTTATTCCCTAACAATTTCCCCCCACACATCCAATTAGCACAGTACTGCAAATGACAAAGATGGAAGAGAATTCTAATTATCAGCAAAAAAGAAGCTACTCAGGTTGTTTTTTTTTTTCTTTTCTTTTTTTTTTTTTTTAATGTGTTAAAGAACCCCATGAGACTGTTAAATGGACAAAGTTCAACCATAAGGGCTAAATCAAATAATAAATATGTATTTGTGGTTAGTGCCTGAGCACTAACAAGGTTCAAGGCCTTTGGTCAAGTTTCAAATGCCACCTACTTTCTTTCTACCTTTCAAACAGATATGACTCAGGTGGAAATTACTCCCCAGGGAATGATATACCCTCGTGCCCTTTGCTGCAGGTTTTTACCTTCTGAATTTTAGTCCACACACAATCTTCTTCACTTCTTCCTTCAAGGATGTCCATGGCATCAGCCATTAGTGACTGCAGCTGTGGCACCGAGATAAAAATTATCAGTGTGGAATTCACACAGAAATAACTTCTCTAAATACACAGATTAAAACCTAATTAAAAAATCATTTGTACGCTGATGATTTTATTACTCATCTTTCACACAATGAGCACTGCCACCTCATCTTCGCCTCAGCCATTACACTGTTCTTATTGTGGGTATGAAACACTTCACAATGGGAAAAAATCCTCTGGAAAATTTGCACTTCAGTCTATACATTTTAATGCAGTCAATGTTTATATTTAGTAAAGGAGGGCTCGGGTTGTAAAGAATAAAGGCTCCATATTTTATTCTTCAGCTGTCTGAGCTATTCTGTGTCGTACATGAATGCTTTTTAGTATTTTCTCCCAAGGCTAATGTATCATCATTTAAAGCAGCATGTAAAACCTCACAAGAGGACGACACTAAAGCTGAGATGCTTTTACTGTAGCTGGAAGTATCTAGCTCATTTTCCTTGCTTTTACTACCCTTTTCCTTTGGCAAACCCTTCCTTCTCCCCATCATTCAGCATAACAGAGCATAAACCCAAGGCTGACAATTTCTAGTGTAAACTATAAAAAGAAGCTGAGGGAAAATACTTGCTAATCAGTCCTTAGTGTGAGAGGGGAAGCTAAAATTCTGGAGAGCTGTAGCGTTGTCTCACTCCAGTACCCTTCCAGGTTAGTTATAGCATTGCCTAGCCCTGCACCCTTTCCAAAAGCTTGGAAATGTTTCCCTTGCTCTTAGTTCAGTAAGAGAGACACAAGGGTCAGATTCTTGAGCAGCCATTAACATTGGTGTTTAGGAACAAACTGGGAGAGAATGGTGCTTAGTACCTGTGATATTGCTGTGCTCTAGTAGGTCTATTCCAAAATGTTTAGTTGGTTAAAGTGAACCCAAACAATAGGTTTTGGGGTCTCTTCCCAAATGTGTTGCTCATTACAAGGAACTGGGCAATATAAGCATTAGAATTCATGGAGAAATTGTCTCTTCTCTTGAGAATTTGTCTCTTCCATATGTACCTAGAGGGCAGCAGTGTAATATGAGTACATAGGTGATGAAACTTAAAACATCAACATTTAGGCTCACTATACAAGGTACAAAATTCTGCCTTGAGACTGAACTGCATTTCCTCAAATTATGCTATGCACTCAGATATTTGAAGTTAAAATTATTTGTTTGTATCCCAACACTGGATAAAGGATACAGGAATCTTCTTTTGACTCGCTAAAGAAATTTGCTGTGCTCAGTCACAGCCTGCTTTCTCTGTGCTTGTGCAGCCATTAAGTTGGATCTTGTTGGTCCAAACACTTGATAAAAACTTTTGATGTTTTTAAGTCATGTATCAGCATTCATGAAAAACAAAACTGCAAATTCCTGCCTCTGGCTTCAATGGGAAAAGAGTTAACATGTCAGAAATATTCCATCACAATACTTTTAAGACATATAATCTCCTTCTATGAAACCAGAATAGACACAACCCAGAGATTAAGGGTATTAAGGGCAGAATGGGCAAAACACAAGTTCTGCATCAAATCAGGCAGTGGAGGAGCTGTTCGGGGAAGGTGAGGATGTTTCCATTGGTTTTTTGTGGAGTAATTTTCTCTGAAGAAGTGGTTAAAAGGCACTCACTGGGGCAGGGACCAGGGCATTGGTCTGTCACTCATAAGGGGCTGCTCTGGCAGCCCAACCAGGCTGCAGATTTCACTGCTTTGGGAAAGAAGATAAACCAAGAAATCTTTACGATTAAAGTTTCATTGATATTGATACATACCAGTGAAAAGTGGCCAATGTGTGCTCTGGTTTTAATTTTTATCATCCAAAGTTTTTCACCAGCTCCCTTGGAAGATAAACCATGCCCCTGCAAGAGCAGGCAGTTGGCAAACCACAATAATTCTCCCAAAACCGGCATTTTTTTGGAAGATCCCCCCCAAAGAGAAATGTTGCTTTAAAAAAACAAACAAACTTGTCCTTTTTTGATTTTAAATGAAAATAGATTTTTTTTCTTTTTTTAACAACCTTTCATCTTGATTTATGATGTACAAATGTGGTGACATTGAAGTCATAAACCTCGGAAAGATTTTCTTCAGGGTTTTTTCTCCAGTTGCATTCAACTGTCCAAGCTAACTGAAACCACAGAATCTTCATTTTCCCAGGGTCTGTGAATACTGACCTAAAAAGGCCTCAGTTGAGGTTCTTTGTGCCATATATTAGGACTCTATTTAGTTACAGGAAGACATTTACACAGACGAGTTTATAACTGAAATGCCTTTGGGATCCCGGAGAATTGCACTATTATAAATTCAGCGTGTTTTAAAATTTATACAACTTATTCTGTATGTGATGGCAAACATTTGGCATCTTTACCCTTTTCTAACTCCCACAATTTAACTGCCTTACTTGGTCATAAACTCTTATCTCAGTTTTACCAGTGTAAAGTCAGAACGACCTCAGAGGAATTAGTTTAAATTTTTATTAGTCAAAGAGAGATTAGAATTTGGCCAGCTCAGTTTTCTCCAAGGAAAAAATTTAGATCTCTGAAATGTTGGTGAAGAGTAAAAAGCACATGGGGTCAGTGTGGGTGCTGTGATTCTGACCCCATGGACATGGGGCTGCCTCTGTAGCAGTCATTGAGAGGTGCTGAATCACACCAGTACAGCCCATCCTCCAAACATTTAATCCTGCCTGGACCCCCATGAAATGAGCAGAGCTGAGCAAGTGAGAATCTCTTGCTCCCTGGGTGATTCAGGCGTGCAGATCCAACAATGGGCAGTGATGTTCTGTGCCTGGTGATGTTGGGATGTGGTAGGGAACCGATCCCTACTGGCATAGGAAAAGCCTGTGCCATGTGGGCTGGTGTCACCAGGAAAGATAAAGCCCATTAATCACTCCCTGGTGAAGTTACTCTGCAAGTTCTTGCCTGCAGTCTCGTGCCTCAACACTGTGGTGCTTTAAGTTTACTAAAATATTCCAACTAAAAAGCAACCTAGCCTCCATTCGCACAGAGAGAATAAAGATATATTTTACAGCAGGATGGCAGAACAAAGAAAAATAAATGAATTCTGAATTAATGTGGTGTAGCTGGTAGAGATTTTCTGTCTTTATTCTTTTAAAAAACATTTTTACCTTGGGCTCAGTAAACAAACAATGTGTGTTTTGTTGAAAGATTTAAAGTCTGTCACTTAAATCTCCCAGCACAGACTCTTGTTCTGCCCAGTCCTACCCTTAAGAGACTGAAGACCTATGTCTTGGGTGGTCTAAGGCCTCCTCAGAAAGCTTTCCAGGGAGGTCATGCTTATGATTACTACATGACAAGATACAGACAAGAGAGTAAGAGCCTCTGCTGAACGTGTGTTGTACTGAAAATATTGTGCCCTGGAGAAAAATCTATCATTGAAATATGTACCAATAACTCAAGACCCTTCAGTCAGCCTTGAAATGTGGGCCTGCTGAAGTTTAATACCAGACAACTTGCATCAAAAGGAGAATGTCTTTTAATAACACAGTTTCTTTGCAATGTCGTTTCTCCTTATCTCAAGCCCAGACTTCAAAGTCTGGCAACCACCTCCTGCAGTTGCAGGCTGCTGCTCCTCTTCCCTAAAGCAAGCTACTGTGAAGCTTTAATTCTGCAGAGCTTAGGAGCTTTGCAGGACTGCAAACAAATGGCAAGGGACTGGCTTTGGGAAAACCAAGAGTTTTTAGTTGGATCATCAAAATTGGACCGCATTTAAATGCAGGGACTGTGGAGGGACTTTTATTTTTTATTTTTATTTTTTTTCTAGAATGAAATGCTTAAAATTTGCATCTACCTGAACTCCCTCCTTCCACCATCATGAAGCCTGACAGCCTCGAGGAAGAATAATCATGCAGTGCTATCTGATTGCAGGTTATTGATGTACTATCAGATTATTAATGACTGGCATCACTGCCCTCCTTTCACAAAGGGAAAAACAAAGCATAGCAGGCACACAGTGTTATTCAGAGACAGGGAGCAAAGTTGTGGATGGAAGCAGGAAAGAAAACCTTTTCTCTCCCTTCCCTCAGCTGTAACTAGATTCGGCCTGTTTTGCCGCAGGTGGCTTCTGATGTTAGATAACTTAAAGTAGCACGATCTGAATAATTGCAACCATTTTCCCAGACTGATTTGGGGAGGTTTGGGGGAAAAGAAGAGGTTTTAAAAATATGCCCACAGATGAGTCATGCTGGTTCTATAAAAGTCATCCTTGCAGGTGATCAGCACCTCCTCTGACAAAGCACTGAAGGAGGATTTAAAAACTACTTCAGGTCCACACATCGGAAAAATGACTTCCAGAGCAAATTGCAGTGCAAAGCTCTGCCCCTGCCCTTCCCTCCCTTGCTCCCTTCTTCTAAAGGCCAAAATAAGTGCTAGAAATAAAATTGACCAGTTTGGCACCCTCCCAAGAGACTTTCTGTAGGTAGGGAAGGGTGGCCAGCTCAGGCATCACTTGATTCATCACTTGGGACTGTTCCTCCACTCTCTGCAAGCAACCAAGGAGGCTCGTGTAATGGAACCTCTCCATCACACTTGGACATGGTCTGTGCTTGTCCTGTTTCCCCAACAAAAGCAAGTGGATTAGAGGAGAGTCACAGAAAAAAACCCTTATCCTATAATCCCTATACCTTGAGGCTTGTCAGCATATAGGTTTGTGCTGGTAATGCTTTGAGCAATATGGCATCCAGCAACTTTAAGGTGATGTTGCTGACAATCTTTAGAGAGGGTTAAAAAAAAAGACTTTCTTGCCACACTCTCACTAGCACTACTAGAAAAAATAAATATGCAGTCATAACATATGTGAAGGGGGACAGCAGATAACAAAACTTGAATGCAATTTTCTCATTTGGAAATGGCTTTCCCATAATCCCCTCTATTAGATATTACCTGACTTTCATGGATTGCTTCTAAAGTTTCGGTGAAGAGGTTGAGGAAAGCACGCAGCATGTCAACTTATGGTTTGTTTACAGACTAGGCAAATCTAGAGTTTTCAAATATATAACCTTGAGGGACTAAAACCTGCAGAGGTGGTCTCTGATCCTCCAGGCAGCCAGGCACATGGTAAATTTTAAGTGTGTGAATACAGAAACTCAGCCAAGTGCTTGCATAAAATCTCAGCACCTGCTGAAGTGTTTGATGGATGGCAGCCTTGCCACCATATTTTCAGAAGTATTCTGATGCCAAAAATGCAAATAAGCACCCTACTGAGATTTTCAAAAGCAATTTGGCCTAGATTCCCGACGAGATGGAGCCATTGCATATCTGAATACTCAGCCCTTCAGAGTGAGATTTCCATTCATCTAATCAGGGTTTTGAATGCTCTTAAGTGCCTGAAATTCCAAGAATTGGCATCAATTTTCAAAACCACTTCCAGTATTTTTAGCAGACCTTTGTTCTGGCAGTTCCATATGGTGGCACCCTGATGCTGCCATTTCCATGCACTTCAGGTAGGTGATTCTAGGTCCAAGCGTATATTGAAGAGAGTGAAAGGAAAGTTTGGAATGAGAGTGAAAGGGAAGTTTGAAATGACATTTATTGTTCAATAAATGGTGTCCTGTTTTTAAATTGAACTCCTCTTCACAAAGAATCTTGATCATTCGGTTTGATCTTGATCTTGGTTTTGCAGAAGTTTTCACTGGGCAAGCATCAAGTGTTACCAAAATGACTATGACAGTGGTTCTTTTATCAAGTCTAGGAATTTAGTAACAGCTCTGATCTTGCTTTCTAAACCTCTTACAGGAATAATAGTGGAAAAAACCTCAGTTTTCTTTAACTCTAGAAACATACAAATAATCCTGATACAGTTAATTTTACCCCCTTTAATATAATACCTAAGACAATGATAAAATAGTATGAAATAAAAGACTGTGTGCTGGAGACCAATGGCAGGAATGGAGCTGTAGTCTGGGAGTTCCAGAAATGAGAGCAACTGGAAAAGAAAGAGCTGAGCCAATGAACTGGTATTTCCATTAGCTGAAGGAGAGAATCGGGCACTGCACAGGGAAAAGGAGCTCTGGTCAGCAGTTCTCTGAGTATTGCAGATAGCTCCAATCAGCTGTGTTTGGAGAGGTTAATTTAAACCCAAGCATCATGGAGCAGAGAATCCAGCACGGTAGGAGATACCTCTTTTGAGAGAAGTGTGCTTTGATTAGTCTATTAATGAAAATGCCAAGAGCTTATTATTCTTCTCAATAAACATAATGCAGGGCTAAATTCCAAAGAGAGCAAACAACTGAAAAGGGAAGGAGAGATAAAAGACAATGATAGCAGAAGGACCATTGTGTATAAATAGGTACAAATAAGACTGGGGTGGCAATTAAGCTTCTGATAATTCAGGTTGAAGGTCTGCAGTGTGTTTCACCCAGAAAAGACAGAAAGTCTAACTAGTTCTAAGATGAATTTTACACAATTTATGAATAAGATATTTGGTGACCCAAAGGTGTGTAATAGCAGGTGATTTGACTTGAGGAGCCAGGAGAGTCCTTCCAGACTCATCTTCTGAACTTCTGTTGACCCATCTCTAAGAGCATGGGACAATTTTCTTACAAACCAGGACAACTTTCTTACAAACTATTTTTATCACTTGAGGAGTCAGTTTCTGAGGACCTGACCTAGTATTAGTAGGAGATATCAGCAAGAAAGAAGATTTCTCTGCTCTCTGATATGTGAAATTGTAAGTCTGACCCAATCTAGTCAGAGTGGTGTGAAAGCAAGGAACAAAACAGAGCTCAGTCTCTGCCTGATCTCCTGTGTCTGAAAGCCAGCTAGCTGTGTCCCCAGGTAGAGCTGTGTGCATTTAAAAAGGGAGAAGCAATCAGTTAATGAGAAAGAGAGCTCTTATCAACATGAAATAGTCTCACAACATTTGAGATGCAGCAAATGGTTTTTTCCCTGCTATTCTTGAAATCCACCCAAACCCTTGTTGTGTGAGCACTAAGAAATGAGTACGTTGAGTCATCAGCTAAGGAAGCAGGTAACAATCCTCTCTCATCATGCTGTGTCTGTTGGGCGCTTCTCCAGTGATTAAGAAAGCAAAGGCTAAAAAGAAAACAATTCTTTCTCTGCTTGACTCTTCTGAAAAATATGAGAGCAGGCCATGTAGCTATGGGAAACAAATTGGACATCTGAGACAACACACACTCTACGGACACAGCAATGCTGTTTGAGTTTAGAGTAGGTTGGAAGTAAATAAATAACCAAACCCAGGTTTTCTTATGAAGGGATTAGAGGGGGTTGAACATTGTCAGAGGTGGTGTTTCAGTGACAATGAGAAATGCAGAAAGAGGAAGTAAATAACTGCTGCTGGCAGGAGAAAAAAATTCCACAGGGAGCTGATCCACATGATGAGGATTACATGAACTACAGCAGAATTCAAGGGGCTACTAAGCTGCAGTTAAAAAAATAATAAAGTGACTGGGCAATCAGATGAAGATGAAATCAGCTCAGGTAGGCACAGTGAAGGTTAAGCAAATAGCAAACTTAAACAGAGACTCCAGTGGAAAAGAATTAGTTGCAAAGAAATCAACAAATGCAGTTTTATGGAGTCACAGTTGTATCCTGGTTAGAAATGCAGTAACTTATTCAGATAATAAACGACTAAATTATGATGCTATTACTTTCTGGGTGGGTCTCACCCCTGTTGTCTGGTATGCCAAAAATGAGCAATTGATGGACTATCTCTTGAGGAATTAATTCATAATGGGCAGTCTTGCCTGAGGCAGGGGTCCTCCCAAGTGGGACCATTCCCTAGAAAACTTTTTGCTGTACAAATTCCCTTTAAACTAAAAGCAAAAAGGATGTTTATTCCAGCGGCATCTTTGAAGACCTCCCTGCTGGGAGGGAAATAAGGTCCTGATGCCCAAGGATCAGCCCTGTGACATTCTCCTTCCTCTGACCTTGGGATGAAAGAGCCCCCACACAAAGCAGATCAGTCAGTTCTGGAGGGAGCTTACCTGCTATTTCTAAATACCCAGCACTAACAACCAGAGCAAAGCTGGGACAGGCTTTCACTGCAAAAAGGAGCTGGAGAGCATGTGAGAGGAGTGAATCATTTGTCCTTTCATGTATTGAGAATTTCGGCACGATACCCCCACCTTTTGCTTTTCTCTACACGCAAGAAAGGAGTCATCCCTTCTGCCACTTCTATTTATAAATAAAGCTAAATTGCTGAGTGCTAAAGAAAAAGAAAAGCAAAGAGGTTGGTCAGCCTGGATTTTAAGCAGAATGTATCATATCCAATATGCATGGCATGTTTAGCTCTCAGCTTAAAGAGCACCACTTTGCAAAAGCCTGGAATGCCCCCAATAGTTCTTCTTTTCTATTGTGGAGTCTTTGCCACTATTTTTCAGCTCAAAAATGTGAATGAAGTTATGTCTTGCAAGCAGCTCTGTAGTGTATTGCAGTAACAAGCGGAAAAAATCCATCATAATGTTTCTTGAATGCCCTTGGTATCCTTCAGAATGTCTGTGTACTGAAATCCATGTGAAATAAACACTTTCCCTCCACTTAAAAAATAGACAACAAAACAGTGAGATCTGTAAATAGAAGCATCATGCTGTGAATCATATGGTAGGGTTTGTTCACCTTTATGATATGAGCAGTATAATAAGCTCCTCTGGCCACTGTTTCTCCTCTTAAGTAGCATCATGTGCCATCAGCATGGGATTATAGCAGCAGAAAGGCAAACTTGGTGTATACAAAACAGCAGAAATTACCCCAGTGAATAACTCGGACAGAATAACCACTTGTCAGTGCTGGCAATCTTGGCTGGGATATGAGTAGTTGAAGGTCTGGCCAATAGCTACTTTTTTAGGGCAAATAAAATAACCCTTGTGCCATGGTATGTATTTCTGGGTAGAGGAGGTTTATGGCATTTCCCACCAGCCACAGATGATGCTGCACAGGGACCAGACTGTGACATTCTTTCTCAAATGCTTCTTGCTTTATGATACACAAATGTCCCCTTGATTTAAATGGGACTGACTGTTCTTTATGAAGAAGGGGGGGCAAGAGAAAATTCTCTGATTTTTTAACATGAAACTTCACCTCTTGCTGACAGTGGTGTGCATATAAAACACATAACTAACTCCAGTTGTGTGGCTGCAACGCTGAGGTGACAGAATTGACTTAAGTACTGAGTGTTGACGTGGCTTAATAAGCTCTACTTTAGCAGTGTGATGTTTGTGTCAAAAAAATCTGATCAGGACAAGAATTTGGATTGTACATTTGCATCTTCAAATGAAAAAGAGGACAGAAAGGAATGTTGGTTCTATTAAAAAACAGATATTTTTTTATCTTTCTAAAGTCTGTTGTATAGCTCAAGTCTGTAGCTGAAGTTTTTAATTTAGTTTGTGTGTGACAGAAATAAGATGGGTCGTATTTCTAGCTTATAGAAAACTTCATAATACTTTCAAGGAAGCAAAATTTGCCAAATCTGTCAGGCCCATAAAGAGATGTTCATCCTCAGTAGCAGAGCAGCTCTGGCTCTGTGCCTGCCTGTATTATCAGGTGTAATTGGCATTGTCATTTGCTCTTTGGGTCAGAGGTTCTGTCTTGCTTGGATCTTGTAATCCTATGAAAACTAAAAGGAAAGTGAATGATAATGAATATGGAATTAGTAGTTGTTATAACTCAGTGGTAACTCCTTCCACCTGGGGGCTTCCCTCCTCTCCATTAAAGCTCCCACACTGACCCCCAGGGCTGGTTATAAATCTGTAGGACCGTGGTTCAGCCATGTTATCCCATTCTTGGTGTTGCTGAAGATGGCACTGGGATGGCCCTGGCCTGAGCCACAGGGATGCTGTGCCGACCTCCTTGAAACAAAAGGCAAGTTTGCTGCTGCCTATATAACTGTGATAGAGGAATCTCACCTCTAAAAGCTCTGTGTTATACCCAAAGAGAGAATTGTGGACTCAATTTTTTTTTATTTGCAGTTTTACTGGGGCTTTTGCAAAAACTAGGGATTTATTCTGCGTCCAGTACCCAACCCACTGCCTGTTTGCACCTGTAGCTTCTTGTAGTGCATTGAAGTGCAATGCCCACAGCAGGAACAGATATTTCACTTTCTCAAAGATACCACTTCTATTAGCCTACTCATCAATAACTTGGGCTTTTGGTCATCCAAAGCCAACAGCACAAGGCCTCAGGAAAGAACTGGAGAGAAGCAGCTGTGTTTCCTCGAGGATATCTGAACTCAGCCTGCTTCTGCTGCCTCCCAGCAATGCAGACACTTCGAGAGCACCCATTTTGGAAAAGTACTAAGCACCTTTACCTCCCACTAAACATGTGAGTGCAGGCATTTACTGTTGTTTCAGCAGCTGCTCTCTGAGACTAAAGGAGATAGAGCTTCCCCAAATATCCAGCTAATGTTTCTTCCTTGCTAGGGGTTGCTAAGTAGCAGTTTTTGTCAACCTCCTATCTAAGAATATAAATCCTGTGATTTGCTAGGACACCCCTGACGAGAAAATGGTTCTGATTCCTTCAACGTGCAGAAAACTCGAAACCGGTTATTGCTGGGGAAAAAGCATTAACATTAGCATTCACAATCTGGGGAGGAGAGGCTTCTTCCTCCTATTTTCAGAGGAATAATTTAAGAATTGCATTAAAACAGTCTAGTCTACATGCAAATTTGATTTTTGACCTTTTGTGCTAATCAACATCCATGGTGCTAAGAAGCTGTGTACGTTATTGCGGAAAGTATGGAGTAGAATTAACTACTATACCTTTAATATGGTTGTAGCAGATTTGAAGGCTATTTCACATACCTCAATACATAGGGTTCAGGACCTGAACCACTAGAAATGCTTCAGGTAGCAATTATTAACTCTTAATGGAGACCCTGGTGGTAGGTGTAGTATGCCGTGGGTATTAAACATATTAACAGTAGTTTTGGTGGTTATGTGAAGAAAGGATATAATATAACAGGCCATAAGGACTTGAGAAAATCGCATGTGAAGTCATCTTAAATAAACTGGGCACACTTAAATAATTAGGACTACTTCTTAAAGGTATATAAACCCCATTTGAGCTCAGCTCCTAATGGAATTCATGGAATACAATTTCTGGACACAGGAAGAGCACGTGCAGCATGAAGTACCCACCAAAAAGCACAGGTCACACACACACACACAGAGGCTTCTGCCACCACACCCACCACACACCAGAAAGGAACCTTATACTTATTCTGGTGCTTCTTATAAAATCCATTACTGGTATGATCTTTTTCTCACTGCTTTCCCCCAGTCTTTTTGTTTCTTCATCCATGGTAGGACTGAAAGGTGCTTTCTGGTCTAGGAAATGAAATCACAAAACCATAGACTGTATTTATTCCATAGAGAATCTATCAGGCTGAAGGTAAACTGGAGGAGGAGTGAAGGGGATAGGGAGAGCTGTCTGGGCAGTCAGGGCTGCCAGCACAGAGAAATAGTCCCCAAGAAACCCCTCAACTCTCCTCATCCATCAAGGATCATGGAGAACACCACTGAGCTATTCAAGCCATTAAGCAAGCTGGTGTACCTGAAAAGATTGGCTGTTTTCTAGTTAAAGACCTTTCCAAGTTTTTTCCAATATATTTGTTTCTGAAATCTAGAGTAAGTAAGTACTGCTGGGTAGGTGGAGATGCAGCCATGTCTGCCACATGTAAATTCCGTGATGACCTGGAAGGGAACTGAAAATAATTTCCACTACCTCATTTTTTTCAGTTGTAAGAGAGGTTACTTTTTTTCAAGGGGGGAAAAAAAAGGAAGTCTAAAAAGGAGTGAAATGGATTCTAGAAAGCTTGACAGAAAAAAGGCGACGAAACCAACCCATCCAGCTCTAACAGGGTTTTGAAATTTCAGACTTTGCAACCTTTTGCATCTACAGCTTCAATTTTGCTGATGCAAAAGATAAAGCATGTTCTTCCCATCTATGCACTTTTCAGTGCTGATCATCCAAAGCATTAATAACTCAACCCTTCAGAACATAACATCCGGATCTTTTAACTGCAAAAGAAGCTGTTTTGTTGTTCCCTGAATTTGTGAGGTTTAATTTCCTACAGATTTGTGCTTTTGCCATCACCACCACCATAATCCCAAGTTTCCTGCCTGTCCTTTCTGATCCCCCCAGCTGGCATGTGACAGCCTGTGCTGTGGCATGTCCAGAGTTTGTGACTGCTGCTGTCAAAACCCCTTGTGTGTCAGCTGAGTGGGTCTTGCCCTGACCTCGGGAAGGACAGATGTTCAGAGCACTTGTACAAGCCACCTTTGTGTAGGGAACTGGACCAGTTCTATCCTCCTTCCCCTTCCCCTGCAGAAAATAAACCTAGATTGAATGTCAGTGTCACTTTTCACAAAGGAGTGCTCTGTTTGCAGGGAGCTCTGCTTTTAAGATGCCAGGCTGTGTGGTCACAGTGACAAATGGACAACCCCACTCGGTGCTCTCTGGACTTACCCCCATATAAATCAAAGCAAGTGGACCTGATATTTCCCTTGCAGCATATTCTGCTTCTGATGGATTCCCAATTTTGTGACAAACTGCATTGTACACTTGGATCACGATGTGTATCTGCTCCTTTTCCCTGGCAATAAGAAAACTTTGAAATCAATTCAGTCCTTACACTCCAGCAGAACTTGGACTAAAATTGGACAGATATTTATTACAGGATAGGAAGATTATTTAAAATAACATGTTCTTGAGATGCCTGGTATTTCACACCCACTGTTAAAATGGGACTTACCTCTTATTTTTAATTTCACCTCTGTGAGATACAGACCTGCAGTTTGGATACTCGGTGCCACACTGGACTTGGAGCTAAATCTATTGCTTTTGTTGTCTTCTTTGGGTGGGCACTGTGATTTTAGGTCAGATCTGAATAGTTAAGTTGAGGAACCTCTATTGTCTCAGCTGACTTCACCTAAGGCTGTTTTGAATTATCTCAGCACCAAGTGTAGGAAAAGGAGCCATGTCTGCTCTGTCTGAGAGGGTTTCCAGGACAGCCCTGATACAGATATTGTTTTTTCTTTGCCTTCTATACCATTTTATTCCTAGAAACTTCAGGGATTCCAAAACCTACTCTCAGAAAAATTTGTATAAAATTGAAGCAATTATTTTAACTGATAGATTAAAACATATTTTAAGGCAGAACTGTTCAATCTGTTTTATAATTGACTATATATTTATAAAATTCTATAGGATCTGAATCTTTTACCCTTCCTTTTTTCCCTTCTTTCTTTTTCCTTATTGGGAGGCATAAGAAAATGACTGATGACATTTTCGGACTCATTCAGTGATTTATGAACAAAAAATCACTGAGTTTGCTTGTGTGCTTCTGAAAGTCTCACCCTTGCTGTAAATTGAGGGAGTTTTATTTTATGCTTCTTTTAATGCCAGTACTTTTGTCCCAGAATATTTTCCTCAGTCACATCAGCAAGTAAAAGGAAGACAGGGATTTTACAATTTTCATAATAAATAAGTCCTCATTTTCTCTCTTTGAACAACCCCAAAGCTCTTGCCAGAAATCCAATACATGGGTGCTCTGCAACTTGCAAAACACCATCTAGGTTTATACTGGTTTTCTAAAGCAAAACCGACACGAATAAAGCAAGTTTACTTGTGCTACCTCTTTGCACAGTTTTGTGGCAAACGCTTGGTTTCCTAATTCCTATTTGTGTTTTAGAAGTAGATTTTATTTTCGTCTCCAGAGACGCAGTGTGTCTCCTTTTGGAAACCCGATTTATCCATTGAGTGCTGGGCTCAGCGGGGTCAGAGCTGTCCGACCTGGGTGCAACTCTTGCAGGGAGCAGGCAGCCTCTCAGCCTTTTGGATGGCTGTGTTGGCAGTGACAGTGGGAGGTGAGCTACACAGCCAGTTTGTGTGACAAAAATAGAGGCTTTCCAGAATTTGACGTGGGAAATGTACTTTTCCCTTTATGTTTCTCAAACACCAATTCAAAGCCAAGCATTATCAGGGTCAACTATGTTCCAAATCACCGGGTTAATGACAGGAAGAAATGCCTTTTATCCTCCTGGCTCTCTTTTGCCAAAATGTCATGTCCATTCCGCTTGAAACAAGCCCATGGTCACCAGAATTTAGGCATGTGTTTGCGCCAGGAGATAGTATTTGAGTTCACTGTGCTGGGAGATGATAACAGACCCTGATAAAGCCCTTTTTCACTCTGGATCCTACTTGTGGTCAAAAGGCTAAAGGAAACATGGCTCTATTCCCATCCATGCAGATGAGATGCTCTCAAAGGTGGTGGTCAGCCCAGTAGAGCTCATAAAAGGCAAAGGTAATTTTGAAAAGGGAGGGCCCTGCTGCAGGTGTGACCATCAGTGGTCATGCAAATCCGTGGAGGTGGGAATGAGCTTGAGCATCCCTGTAACCACAGTACACTTGCAAACCTACCTCTGAACAAAAGATTAATTGCAATAATGAAATCCAACAACGGAAATATGGCACTTCATGGATAAAAATAATATTTATGGGGATTTGCAGTATAAAGTCTGTACTTTGCCTGAGTGCTCATTCCATTACCTAAATCACAGACAATCACAGAGGAGATCTCAGAAGACAGTTTTCGCCCCCGGAAGTGTAGAAATGTCTGGACCTCAAGCTTCAGAGTCTCTCAACCTCTTTTTTAAGTCAGACATGCACACAAAAAACACACAGTGCTTAAGAGGATGTGAAATCTGCTGTTACCTGTAAATACGTGCTGCATGTAATCAGGGTGCTTTTTAGCAAAGGTTTTGTCTGCCTCCTTTATTTTGGCACTCTCATCTCCTTTCACAAATGGTTTTTACATAGCCAAAAAAGATATTTCTCTCTTGAAAGCTTCTTGAGTTATAGCCTAAAAAAAGGCAAAGAAATTATACATTGCATATTAGGAAATGGCTAGTTAAAAAAAATAAAATACCCCTCCCTACTTTCTCTGATGATATTTTCCCTTTAATAATTGCACAGTCATGCAAAGATAACATATTTTGATCTTGAATATTAATTAGAGGGGAATTTAAATTAGTTCCAGAAAACACTGCCTTTCTATACTCAGAAAATCAATTTGATGGAGAAAGAACATTTGTAAACAGTTTTCAGTGCAGTGAGCCTATGTCCTCAATGAGGAGAAAAGTATTAGCTAAATTATCTTTTAGATAAAAAGAAAAAGTGATTCCATGCTCTCTGAAGGTCACAGCTTTCATTTGAGGGTTTTATTCAGTCCTTGGGAGTTGGTTAAACAATGCTAAGCATTCACATTACCCCTTGGGTTGGCATGAATCAGACACTGTGCCTGTACGGAATATTAGTCTTAAAATATTGCATTTAAGCACCGTTTGCATTAAGAGTAAAATTCACTCCTGTGCAGAGGGCAACATGAAGCTTATGAACCTTTTCATCCCTTAAAAATGACTTAAATGATGCATTGTGCTGGTGTGATGTGAAGAGGTGGATTTCACACTCAGTGGACCCCAATGAACTGGTGCTGGAGCTGCCAGGAGGAGCTGCCAGACTGGGAATAGCCTTACTCAGCCCTATTATCCATCAGGGCAAGGGAGGCTGAGCTGCAGCTCCTCCTGGGCTGGGCTTTGGCTTAAGACCCTGTTCAGTGCTGCTGTGGCTGCATCTGTTGATAACAACAATTTTGTCTTCCTGAGATGGGCATTGCTTTCTGAAAACTGGGGGAACTGCAAGGCTTTGTTAATGTGCCTTGGCAGAAGCATAAACCTGGTTAATAGTGACAGGGATAACACAAAGTTAATAGAGATAGTCAGAAAAGCATGACGTGAAAAGATATATGCATTTTTACAGGGTATATGAATCTCCCAGATCCCCTCATCCACTGAAGTGATTCACAGAAGGTATCACTAGGGGTCCAGCTTGTTGTTTTATTAACAAACCCTCATATTTGTTCTCCAGTCTATCCTCCACCTATGTAAAATTATCCAAGACACAGTGTGCCTCCGTGAGTCACTGATTTAGCTGATGACTGTTCCCACCAAGCCAGAATGGAAGGCCGAGAGTGCCAATTAGTTAGGTATCTGTGTCTTTCTCTCAAATGGATTTAGACAACAGAACTTCTGATATGGTCTTATGCCAGTTTATTTCCATCCTGTTTATTGGTATGGGTTGTGCAGAAATACCATAGAAATGCTATAATTGTTTGGAGTAGATTTTGGGATAGGCTGCCACACGTGCACCCTGAGTGCTCTTACACTGAATACTCTGCCTGGATCTCGAGGGTATCACTGGGGATCTGTTTATATTTTAGAAGTCTATATTTAGTCAGCCTGTTATCCTGTATTTATTGGAATGGAAGCAGTCTGGAGTGGCCAGTTTAGCCCTGGAGAATTAACAAGCCTCAAATGTGTGTAATAGTATCATGACCACCTGGGGCAATAATAACATTCCGCCCAGGTGAGGAGAAGTTCCAGCTTTCCCTGGGCACAACCATGTTATCCATGGACACAATGGTGTTATCCATGGTTAATGCCACAGATCTGGAGGCATCAGACCAGAATATAGCAAGTGTGTCCTCCTGCAAAGAGCTTTGGGGACACACAAATGGATCTGTGTCCATTCCTTCCTGAGGGAATATTTACCAGTCTGCACTGATTCACAGGGAAGTGATATTAGGTTTTCTTATTTCTATGGACTTTAATTATCTTGTTGTTCAGGGTCCTTA